TTATATATAAAAGGAGATATAACAACCCAACGATAATTAGTATAATTCATAACAATAATTATTTTGGTATAAACTCAAACATATAGTACGGATAGAAACACGCATGCTTATTTAAAAGATACAGCTAAAATAAATATAGGTGTGCAATAAAATTATATTATTAATTAAGACCAGTATAGTCGAATTTGATATCAATTGAAAAAAAAATATATATCTGTTATTGGAAAACTAAATTACTGTTTAATGGCGTGTAGACATAGGGTATCGATACAATTTCTTGTTCTTCTTCACGCTCAAACCGAAATAAAAGAAAAAAAAAAAACCTCCGGCGATAACACAAACCAGGTATGATACACAGACCTACAATCTTTTTATTTTTTGTTATGCATCTGGATTTATAGAGTACATGATCATCTGCTAATGTTCATACCCGTGACATTGAGAATTCTACGGATATAAACAAAGTAGGAATTTTAATTTAGATTTGTGTTGATGTATGAGAAATCGCATATATATATACGTATACACACTTAAGTCGTTACTTTCGGATGTATAATCGCTGAGATTTTTAACTATATTGAGCTTGCATGTACCAGATCTGATGTTATTTTCAGACCGATTAGATTTGTCCTATACTATGTGTTAATTTTTTTCTTTTTTTCGGTAAAATATAATTAGTTCAGATTTCATATCAATTAAAACTTTTGATACGAAATATGTGTTACAGAATAAAATGAGTTCATCGAGCGAGTCAAACAATAGCGAAAACAATGTCATCCAATTTTCCGTTTCAGTCCCCAGAAAATATGAACCATCTGGCATGTTGAGAATTCCAGAAATGCTACTCGAAGACAAGGATCCGCTGACAAAGCACGAATCCAGCAATTTCTGCAAGCAGGTAATTACTGTAATAAACCTGAAATATAACATTATTTTTATGAACAACGCTGTTGAAGAAGATTAAAACCATATTCATTAATCATCTGTGATGTTCTACTAAAACATGGGCTATTTCTATGTACCATGCTGTTTGATAAGTACGGACACATATTAACTGCGCATGACAAGATAATGAAAAAGAAGGCAAAGCTTGAGAAGGAGAGAAAAAAGCTAGAGAAGCAACTTAAAAAATATGAGGCATATTAAACAACTAATTCGGAATCGACATACGAAAACTATTCTATTAAAAAATGATTAAATCATCTG